CCTTTTAGAACTATTTGAAGATTCAGGGAAATGAAGGGCTTATTAGCCTCATGTTTGGAATGTCATAGATGCTACTGCTGCTGTTGCTTTTTCGGTTTTGCTAGAGCTGAAGTTCTTAGCTGGATAGGGTTTGGGTTTTGTGGTCCAAGTGCATGTTTATATCACAGAGATATATTAATACTATTCATAAATGATATCAATAAAGAATATATTAACTTTATAGACAAGGCCATTTCTGAAATTTTCAGAGATCACAAGAGCTTATTACTGTCCCTGTCAAATGGAAAGACCTAAAATAAATACTTCCTGCTGTTGGTGTTTGTTTGTAGTGATTGTCACTGTTGTTTGGATCCTTTTCCTTTTTGCAGGAGGAGATGGAAGATTTGAGCGAGCCAGTGGAAGACAGGAAAGAGGGCTTCCCTCCCAGGGCATATTTGCCACCTAGTGACCATATTGAGTAAGTACAGTATTTGTGGATTGCTCTGAAACATTCCTAAAATTTTACTTATTGAAAAGTTGCATAACCTCCCTGCCAAATAAGCTAGTTCAAGTTATAGTGATTTCTGCTATATCCAGAAGCTAAAAGTAGTTATAACATAAAAATAAACCTTTCTTTCTAAATGTCATGTCCCCCTCATCCCTGGTAAGTTTTTCTCTAGAATTTATTAAAACTGTGGTCTATAGCAGTGGTCTTCATACTTTCTAATTATAGGCCACCTGAAATAATTTTGAGAAGCTAGCTATCCCATCATACATCTCTAAGTTAGCATCTGAAATTTATTATCATAAATTTAATTTGTGGCTGTTATTTCCAGCATATTATAAATACTTGTGCTTTTAAATAACATGATTTAATCACATTTGTATGATCCAATGAACTAAAAATACCATAGTAACTTGATACTCATCATTGTTAGTTTAAAAGTAAAAAATAAAGAAAAACCTATAAATAGTCAGAAATTTTACATGATTGCATTCTCCTTGAAATTGCCATTCCATTCAACTTCTCATACATAATTTATCCTAATGTAATATAATTTTATGCTTAAAAGCCTTTTATTTTCACCATATCATAAATCACTGCAAGAAGTATATATAGTTTGAAACAAAATTTCCTATAACTCTAAGCCTCTGAGTATTTTTATAATTGAATCACAAGTAGTATACAGTTTATTAGGCCAGTATAAAATACTATATATTTTGGTAATTATTTAAAATAAAAACTAGAATTTGATTGGAAATGCATTCCTTAAGTGCATGATTGTTTATTTTTCCTCAAATTAGTTCATGACTCAGAGGATGACTTTTACTTTTCTTCTAATCTAATGAGACAGAAGGCAGTATAATTTTTTTCTTATTTTTCACTTTTATAGTTATAAGAATTCAGAAAACTTTGTTCCCATAAATAAAGAGGGAACGGAATGAGTGTCCAAATCACGGGTCAGAAATCACACAGTGACCTGTCATCAAAAATTATTTTAAATTATTTAAATTATTTAATTAAAAATTATAGTTTTTACAGACATTTTGCTTAGAGCTCTCTTGAATAGCATGAAAGCAAAAAAGCCCCAATTTACAAAAGGATTTGTTGATTAGTCATTGATTTCTGAGTTTCTGGGAATTCTACCAAAATGACCTTACCAAGATTTTGAAAATAACTATTATGTGTCATACTTTCATTTTGAGGCATTATTTTAACCCAATATACTTACAAAGGTTGAGAAAATAAAAATATTTAATGTCTTAGCCAATATAATAATTTTGGTAAAATGACTTTAATTCATTATATCCTTTAAATATAAAGCTCCGTGGCCACAGATTTGGATCATCAATTTCATAGAAAATATTTATAATGAAACTTAATTGGCAAAGGCAATGTTCATATCAAGATAATCAGCCAAGTCATCTTTACCTTCAGAAAAAGTGTCTGACTTCATTTTCAATATAAAAAAAATGAATTACTATGCTTTCTGAGGAGCATTGGTAAAACCATGGAGAAATCAATTACTAACAAACTTAGATTAAAATTTTAATATTTGTATCCACTTCAAAATAAATTCAGAAATTAAATAACAATTTTGTTTCTCATGTAATATGTTGCCAGCATTATAATTCATGTATGAAACAAAGAATCCAATGACAGGCATGGTTTTTCTTTGGTAAACAAATACACATATGTTGTTAGAACTTTATTGCTTGGTTCTGGAAATAATTAAGAATCATGTACAGGGTTGGGCAAAAGTAGGTTAACAGTTGTAATACAAATAAATAATAAAATAATTAGCAAATAATAATAATTAGCAAATAATAATAAAATCTGTGTTTCAATGTACTCACAGCTGTAAACCTACTTTTGCCAACCCTTATATGAAAATTTAAAAATCTATGAATGTAATTAGACCACAGAATCAAACTCTTCAACCATATCTATGAAAGAGAATAATACATATAGCTAAAAAAATCATATTTTATTTTTAATAATAGGAGATAGAAATTTTGATTATTTATACAATAAAATAAGGGTGACTTTAATCGGAAAAAAAATATTTCAAGATACAATATGAGAACACAGATTTTAACTAGTTTAATGAATGGTGTACCGTATCTGAAAAAAATCACAATAATATCTATGCATAAGTTTTATCGTGTAAACACTTGGCAGCACAGGAAATCATTCCAGTCATATTTAATAGAATTGTAATCAACAGTGTGTACTGCTATTAGTTAGGAAGTGCTTTTCTTTTTAATTAATTGCAGATTTAAGTGATTAGTTTTGAGAATAGCTGAATAATAATTCTTAGTTTTAAGAAGTGGAACAAAAGTTTTCATAGTCAGATCAATTTTAGACAAGAATACATATGCAAATTGAGAACCATAGAGTGAGTTACCTGAAAACTCTCCCTGTTGCATATTTCTTGAAAAGAATTCATGTACGAGTAGCCTAGTTTGAAGACCACTGTTCTAGACTATCTTAAGCAGAATTGCTCCAGAGCAATATATAGTCATTGTTGGGAAAACTGATTTATTATAGTTTACATTCACAAGAGTGCAGTGGAAGCAGCTGCCACTCTTGAATTTCTGGCAAATGCTTCTATGACTGATTGTGTTTGAGCAAACTATTCTGGAAGGAATTATTTTATTTTGTTGATAAATGTATGTAATGACCTTCGTTTTCCAATATGGGAGCCACTAACCACAACTTGGCTATTAAGCATTTGAAATGTGGCTTGTGTGAACTGTGATATGACATAAGTGTAAAATAACAATATATGCCGGATTTCAAAGACAGCACAAGCATAATAAAATACTTAATAT